ACATCCCAACAAAATGAAGACCAAGAATCCAATTAAAAAATGGGCAGAGAAACTAAATTGACGCCTCTCCAGACAGGACATACAAATGGCCAAGATACATATGAAAAAACCCTCAACATCACTAATCATCAGAGAAATGCAAATTAAAACAACAATGAGGTATTGCCTCACACCTGTCAGAATGGCTGCCATCAACAAATCATCAAACAACAAGTGTTGGTAAGTGTATGGAGAAAAGGTGACTCTAGTACACTGCTGGTGGGAATGCAGACTGGTATAGTCACTATGGAAAACAATATGGTGTTTCCTCAAAAAATTAAAAATTGAATTGCCATTTGACCCAGTGATCCCACTTCTAGGAATGTACCCTAAGAAGCCTGAAACACCAATCAGAAAGAATATACGTATGTACCCCCATGTTCATAGCAGCACTATTTACAATAACTAAGATCTGGAAACAGCCCAAATGTCCATCAGAAGACGAATGGATAAAAAAGCAGTGGTACATATACACAATGGAGTATTATGCAGCTCTTATCCTTTGAGATGGCATGGAAGGACCTGGAAAGTATCCTAAGCGAAACAAGCCAAACAGAGAAAGACAAGTATCATATGATCTCACTTATTTGTGGAATATAATGAACGTAACAGTTGAAGAACAGGGTAGTCCCAGAGACGTGGAAGTAGGGTACAGACTGACAATCCCCAGAAGAGGGGTCGGGGGGGGGGGGAGATAAACCACAGAATTTATACACATGTATGTGTATCCAATGGACATGGACAACAAAGCTGGGGACAGGGCGGGGAGGGTGGGGGAGGAGAGTGTCAATGGGGGAAAAGGAGAAACATCTGTAACATAAATAAACAAACAAAAATTTACTGCAAAAAAAAGGGGGAAATTATAAGATTTCTCTGATTAGAGTGGATATTAAGGATAAGAATGTGTGGTTAGGTAGGCTGAGGGCAGGGTATAGAGAATCTTAAAGTTAACAGATGAGTTTATGCTAGAGCCAGAGAAGGTCTAGAATCAGCAGGAGGCTTTGATGAGTTGTATGAGCTTGTAAGTGGATACATTGGGAGAAACATTAGTGTTAATTGTAGACTAGACTGATGGGGAGGAGACCAGATTGGAATACACCAGATCTGGTTAAACATTTGGCTTGTAAATACAGAGATGAGAAAAGTTGATGGATGGGTGGACAAATGGTACTTTCTTGGGGACATGTCCATTAAGAAAACAATATAAGAAATATAGAATAATAGGAATAACAACTTGGTGGTTAATTCATCTCCAGTGATTTCTCTAGTAGGTGTTTCCTTTGTCTTACTGATCTAACTACCCATTTTTTATCCTGTTAGGTGTATGGTTTTTGTTTCTTCTGTTCAATTTCACATGAAGTAATTCTTTCTAAAACTTTAGTATTCATTCAGTTTTCTGCCTTTAATTTTTAAATTTGAATCTGCCTCTAAATGACTCTTTTACATTATTTAGCTGCATTTACCAGTGGAAAATTCCTCTAAGGGTGAATACTGGGGTCAGGAAAGTTTATCGGGGGGCGGGGGGACTAAGTGGTACTTCTATTTTCAGACTTAAGTCTAGTGTTGAAATAACTGTGATTTACATCTACTTTATTATGCCTGTAGCTAGGGAAGTAAACTCACAATGTAATTCTACTGCCCATCCTTCTGATTCTTCCTTCAGAGATTTATCTTGTGTATACATTCATTTAATATATATATATTATTGCCCTGGCAAGTTTGGCTCAACCGTTAGAGGATTGGCCTGTGGACCAAAGGGTCATGGGTTCGATTTCTGGTCAAGAGCACATACTTGGGTTTCAGGTTCTATCTTTGCCCTGATCAAGGTCGTACAGGTGGCAACCAATCAATGTCTCTCTCTTTTTTCTCGCTCTCTTTTCTCTCTCTCTCTCTCTCACCCCCCTCCCTTCCACACTATCTAAAAATCAATGTAAAAAAAACCCTTGGGTGAGGATTAATTTTTAAAAATTATAATAATAAAAATATATTATTTTCTGATTTTTAGTTAAGGTGTTTACTCTCTTCTTGACATACCTTGATAATCTTTTGACATTTCCTTTGCCTCTGTATCCTTACCCTTTCATTTTTTTCTCTTCAGGGCTGGCAGCTTGATCTTTCTGTAATACAGCTTTGAGGCCTATCACTTCCCCCATCCCTGCTGAATGTAATCCAGATTTCTTTACCTGTCATTCAGGGTACCCCAAAGTCTGACTAACACCTTTTCTTTCCCACTGTTTTTCTTAACATGCCCCCACACTCCCCACAAACCTGATGATTAAATGCTCCCTAATCTAACCTCATATGATTTACCTTCTCTGCACCTTTGTTTATTTCTGCCCCTTCCACTTGTAATGTCTTCATGCCACTGCTACCCTTTAAAATTCTGTGAATGTTTTAAGGGCTAGTTAGGTCCCATCTCCATTGTGAAATGTCCTGACAGTCCCAGGTGAAAGCTGTCTATCCTTCCTTTGAACCCTGTTTTGTTTGTTGATTGTTTTTAACCATTTATTGAGAACTCATATTTGTAAATTATCACAATATCAGGTCATACATTCTGGGACTCCTCACCCCAACTCAGTGGCAAACCCAAGTGAGGGACCATGTCTTTCTCCTTTTTAGCCTCATTTCTCATCCTCCCCACCCCCTAAAGGCATTAGCACAGTGCCTTGCACTGCTAGTGATCACTGCTCAAAGCTTTAAGGGCCTAGTTTGACAAGTTAACGTATAAAAACTCTGCTAATTTTACTCATGATATAATGTGGCATGTATTCATGGGAGAGAAAATTGAGTTTGTCAGAGAGGTAGATTTTCTATTACTAAGTAGTCTATTGTTTTTCAGTTTTATTGAATTTATTGAGGTGACACTGGTTAACAAAATTATATAGGTTTCAGGTGCACAATTCTACAACACATCATCTGTATACTGTATTGTGTGTTCACCACCCCAAGTCAAGTCTCTGTCCATCACCATTTATACCCCCTATACCCTCCCCCTGGTAGTCACCACATTGTTGTCCATGTCCATGAGTTTTATCTTTTTTTTCTTTTTTGCTCAATCCTTTACTCCCAATCCAGCCCCTCCCCCCACACACAGCTGTCAGCCTGCTCTCTATCTATGAGTCTGTCTCTATTTTGCTTGTAAGTAATCTAAATTTTTAAAAAAGGTTACACTTTAAAATTATGTTAAATTAGATGTTTGGTGCTCAGAATTAACTTTAACATTAAAAAGTATTGATTTATAATACTGTCAACACTGTATACTTTATAAAGCACTGTTATTCTGATTATTTTTATTTTGTTTCATATGTGGTATTTAAAAGTCTAGGTAAATCCACAAAAGAATGTTTAATTAATGTATCTAATAATACTAACAACCTACCCACCATATATCATAGTCATTTGGGGGAAATGCACTCAGCATTACCACTCAAAGTGCCAGAGAACACATACTCCACTGCTCCCTCAGCACCCCCCCAGCACATCTCTGACAGCAAGATCAGATTTCTCCTTTTATTATCAGACCTTAGATGTGTGTGATTTATACACAAGTTCTTGGTGGCCATGGCAGGATTGGGAGGATTCCTGTTGGGAGTTGCTGGGGAGGTATGAGGAGGTTTGAGAGACCCAGGCCTTCTGCTGGCCTCCTGTCCCACCACCCCTGGGTTTAGGCTATTTCTCCATCCCTATGAGGTAAATATTGTTATACCTGTTTTAGAGGTGAAGGAATGAAGGCTTTACAAAGTTTAGTAACTTGCTTAAGATCTGCACAAAATTAATAAGAGGCAGAACAGCTCTCTACCCAGGACAGTCTAATACCAGTGCCTGTACTCTTTCTGCTAACTGCGCTGTCTTGTAACTGGGGTTTCTCACTGTCTTTAACCTGCCATGGAGTGGAATACATTCTCACCACTTTTCCCTGCCTCTCTGTCCAGGAAGCAGTCAGATTGTCCTTTTGGAGTTGTCTAAGGGAGCATAGTGGTAACTACCGTGGAGTGAGACCTGAGTTCTAATTCTGGTTTTGCCACTTATTACCTAATAGTGTGACTTTGGGCAAATAATTTAACCTCTCAGAGCCTTAGTTTCCTCATCTGTAAAATGGGAATAATATCTACTTTATACACATATGTAGACTAAATGGCTTTGTATATGAGCACTTTGCACAGTTCCCACTATATGGCAGAAGCTCCCTAAGCAGTAGTGGTGTAGTTATTGTTGCTGTTATTGGATTGTAGTAGTAACATGAAAGACAGAGACACCTAAAAATCTTTTTAATTTAATGCTTCTTCCCTCTCTCCTGCTTTTATTTTTTTCTCTTATACCCTATAAGGTAGCACAACAGGGGATAAAGATGAGTGTTCTGGCCTGCAAAGATCTGAAATGAAATTAATTGACATTTCAGAGAGACCTCTATATTTGGGGACTCTAGGGTCCTTTGAGGACAGGAGTGGGTATGGGGAGATGGAAAGGAGTGTGGCTAGCTAGGGTGAGAGGAATGGCATTTGAGAGGACAGAAATTTGCCATCTCTTTCTGGATGGCCACCATCAGGCTCACAACCAAATTTTTCCATTGAAGTAGCATTAGGATGGAGCAAGGAGCTGTACAGTGCAGCAGCAGGGACTGCCTCTGGGCAGCACAGGAAAAGGAAACAGTAGTGGGCATTTGACCATGTCAGCTGGCAGCTGCCAAAAGACACATAAGTCTAGGACTGCACATGAATGTTTCTTGAGTGATAATCTCAGTAAACTGCACAAAATTTTAATATGCATAATAAAGAACTTTCCATATGAGAATGTGTTCCATTTTTCAACAATCATGATTTATTTGAAGAATTTAAAACTGTTTGAAGTGTATATATCTAGTAAGCTAGTTGAGTTCTAATACTGATCTGTTTCTAATTCTGTAAATTAATTCTAATAATTTTCTATCTGTCAATGACTTTCTTTTCCTGCTCTGCTCTCAGGAAGAAGACAGCTTCCTAGAAAAGGTAATGCAATCTATTGGTGGTTATGCATTTCCCTGTGCTTGATTAATATTTAACTGTGGTCCTTGGAATTTGTCCCTAGGCTTTCCCATATCAGAGACCTCTGACTCCAAGAAAATCCCCCAAAGTTGGCTTTTAGTGTGTCTGAAGTACAAGAAAGATACTTACTGTTCTGGTCAAGTCATTGAGACTAAGGACATAAAAGCAATTGGACTCAAGGTTCCAGACTTGTATTTTTGAAATGAGAAATAACAAGAGCTTTCTGATGTATATGAAAGCTCATGAGACAGAGGAAGGCACCACTTAGCTGTCCTCCATCTCCAATGATAGTAAAACCAGAATTGGAATACTCTTGCATTAAGTGTGATTTGGGTTAGTGGTAATAGTGATTAATTACTGAAAGAATACCCAGATATGGTCAAGAAATAGAGCATAAGAATAGAATCATAGAGCTGAATGAGTTCATAAGGGATCATCTGGTCTAGCTCTCTGACATCATATGGGGTCAGGTGTTTTCTCCATTCTACTGATGAGGCAACTAAGGCCCAGCACAACTGAAAAACTCACTAGGGGCAGAGAGTACTAGAACCCAGGTTTCCTGAATGCCTAGGGAAGGAACCTAGTAAAGCTCCCCTTTTGCGGCTTTCTGCCTTTTTGAGCTGGAGAGTGCTTGGCTCCACACAGGGCTATCAAGTAGAGAAAAACTGGCTTATAAAACATTCTTAAAGCACTTTCACACTGTATCTAATATTACCTCCCCATTTGGTTCAGTTAAGGCATTTTGATGGTGGGGATGGCATACTATTTTTGTGCTTTAGTTATTAGTGCTAAGGTTACAATGTGTGAGCTTATCAGGCACTGAATGTGTCTCGTTTAAAGAAGACAAAATGTGCCTGGTTTCCCTTTGAAAATTAGAGTTCGGGATAATGTGTGGGACTTTAAAAAAGTATTGTTTCTTGTGCATGATCTTTCTTTAGTATTCAGATACCACAAGTATGACATTTCGTATTATCACACATGAATTTGAAAATGGATAGTGGATGGTTTATTTAACCTACTGATATTTTATTAACCTTTTTAAACCACTAAGGATTGTGACTGTTCTTCTTCCTAGCCTTTTCCTGTTAATAGCAGGTTATGCTCTATCTTTTCATCTTGGACAGTGCCTTATGTTGCCTTAATGCCTTAATATGTGAAAAGTGTCAATTGGATGTCAGATTTTTGAAAATGTTTTCTACTGATTTTTTTAGAGGGAGAGAGAGAGAGAGAAAGATCAATGTGAGAGAGAAACCATCAATCGGCTGCTCCTGCACGCCCCACACTGGGGATTGAGCCCGCAACTTGGGCATGTGCCCTGATCAGGAATCAAACCGGGACCTCTAAGTCCATGGATGACACTCAATCCACTGAGCCACACCAGCTGGGCTCATGTTAGATTTTTTAAATAAGTACATGAATACAATGCTGAATAATTTATATATGGTAAGTTTGGTGGCATCTGCTACAGAATCTGTACATATGTTGCATTTGGTCCAGAAAGTGAGCAGAGTGCATTATGAACGGTGTTTTGGCTCAGATATCATGTAGATGCCTAGATTTAATGCTCGCAACTGGAAAGAATTTAGAGGATGAGCCCCTGATAAAAGTTCTGGCAGCTCTAGGGAATGTGAATATCAAGTGATAGAAGCCCATGGAAATAAAGAAAGGAAGCAAAATAAATGTGAAGAAAATAAATTTTTTAAACGGTAACCATCTGTCACGCTCCCTTCTTTTTCTCATTCCCTTAGAAAGACACAGTGCTTAAAAGGTCACCAGTGCTTATTGAAGAACAAAATGTTAAAAAGAGCCCTAAGCTCTGCTGTAGTGGAAAGTAGTAAAATGCTTCTTTTCTTTCCTTTAAAGTTACATGGCTGGGGTTCTACATGGAATTTACAGAATTTCCTAAAGTTGAACATACATAATATATTTGGTCACTGTTTTCTCCACTAGTATTTTTCTGAAGGCTGCCTTCAGATGCCTTTTTACCCATTTCAGACATCTTTTTGATATAATTTATATTTGACTATATAAACATAAGGTAATTGAGTTTATTCCCGGCCATTTTCAAGTTCAGATTTAGTTATTGATTCAATTTATGTCACTTCTGGGTTTTTCTCTTATATTCTTTCAAGAGAATCTAACAGATAGTAGAAATATAGGTGAAAGGAATCAAAGCCCTGATAAATTTTTGCTGAGCTATTGATATAAAGAATAACTTCTAGACTCAGAACCTAGACTTTTCTTAGTATCTCTGGCTCTTGGTATGCTGTATCCATTTACTACTTTTGGATCTTAAGGCTTATGGCTTTCAGTGCTTTAAGATTAGACCTTTTCAACAATAAAATACACTTTTTTAAAAAGAGCCCTGTCAAGCCTAAAATAATTCATGCATGTGGATCTAATGTGGGGAATTGTCTTTAATGAAGACAAGCAAACCTCATTTAAATCAACAATGAAAACTGTAATATTTGTGGTAAAAACTGAAAGAAGAATAAGTTAAAAGTCAACAAAAACGTAAGTAGATGCTGCTCTCTGAGAGTACTGTGTTGACAATTGTGATTTAATGGTCCACAAGTCTCCGGTAGTATGTGGACTCTACCGTGATTAATTGCTGGAGTGCTCCTTCTCAGTTTCACCCTTGAAAGGATTTACAACACACAATGCATCCAAGTGATAAACCTAATAAACCCAAATGGAATGCTTAATAGTTAAGTGAAGCATCTAGAAAAGGAGATCCTTTAACTGGGGGGATCAGTATCAAGTACCTCCTGACCAGGAGTGTTCCCAGTGAGAAAAAAAAGTCAAGTTGTACCCATATAAACAAAATTTGAAGGAGAGTAAGTTACAGACAGAAGTTTTTATTGAGACCCTTTAAACCCTCATCCTTTTTCATCTCTTAGGAGAAATCCTTTCTACAGATGGTTCCCTTGGATGAAGGCACCAGTGAGAGACCCCTTCAGGTCCCCAAGGAGATCTGGCTTCTGGTAGACCACTTATTCAAACACGCCTGTCACCAGGTAAGTGAGAGTGGGCCTGCTCCACAACTTCAGAACGTGTGTGAGTCCAGTGGGAAATTATAACCCCTCACATCAATACAGACTATAGAGCTTCTAACTCTCCCAAGCTACCTCCACACAGCAACACTTTCAGATTGCCTGGGCAGATGGAAGTATTCCTATTTACAGATGTGAGCGCTAAAGCTTGCAGGCTAAGTTGTTTACCTAAGACCAGGGCATAAGTATAGTGGCAGAGTTGGGTCCTGAACAGAGTATGCCTGTCTCCTGGCTGCACATGCTTTTCCCTGGACCACTGCTGTTATGCTTGCTTTAACTGTCACATAGGCATTGCAGATGTTAAAGTTCAAAGCAAACTTCAATCCTGTTTTTTAAAGGTGGTCTTCATTTTTCTTTAAGTGCTAGCTAATATGCTAGTCATCCCCAACCCATTTCCCCCAAAAAGAGAAATTTCTTGGGACCAAATTGAGGGGCAAGGTTTGCTATGGACATGCCATTTACTCCTGCCCCAGCATTCTGTAATACAGGTCTCCCCTGCTGTCTGACATAGAGCATTCCTTTGAAACCTTTCATAAAACAAAATGGTGTAAAGCGAAGAAGTAATTACCATTAATTTTTATGAAAATATTTTTTATATTGTTCCCAGGCCCCAAAAATGACCTACCAAATCATACCAAATAACACACAAAACCTAAAATAACATTAACATTCAGTAAAATCAGGAATGCACAAAATAAATGGAGATGAAGCACAGATGCTCACAAACAGTTCAAAACTGTGGTGGCTTGATGCAGAGATGCTGAGTGTGGTTCCTGGAGGAAGGAGCTTGGCGGGGCCACTCTCACTGCTCCAGTGCATGATGCCTGTACAATGGTATGCTGCAAAACAAACACTAAATGCTCTTTCTCCTTTTTATCTTTTTTCATAAAAGTGAAAAGTCTCTTCTGATTGCTTTTGGTTAGCAAAAACAGGTACTAACGTAGGTCTTTCATAAAAGCAAAGTGGTGTAACGAGGTTTCAAAACGTGGAGGTACATGTATCAGTGTTTGAATGCAGTTCTGCTCTTTAATCTCTGCTTTCAAATTGTCAACATGCTAGAAGTGGGACCACCTGATCTCCCAATCTAGCTATCTAGTCCCCTGCCATATCAAGTATAGGCTAAAACCTTTGAAGATAATCTTCTATTTTGGAATAAGATTTTACACAGATTATAGAGATGATAAAGAGAACAGGCACCATTGTCACACTTCCATTCCTAATCATGAATATGCACACCACTCTTCCCTTTAATTCCTGCTGCTTTCCTGATCTCTGGATGGTCTTCAGAACCTTAAGACTTTTTATCTTGCCTTGTTCCATCTCTTGTGGCCTCTTTGCTAGGAGGACCTGTTCCAAACCCCTGGAATGCAGGAAGAGTTACAGCAGATCATAGACTGTCTGGATACCAGCATTCCTGAGACAATCCGTATCCTTTTGAACAAAGGCTTAGGAAACTGGATGAGTATTTGGCCAAGCTCTTCTTCCCACCTACATTTGATTTTTGTGCTTCCATATTTTCTTCATAACTGTCTTTCATTATAAGGTAATCATTGACTATACAATGGTTTCTGTTTCTTTTAGGAAATTTTGACCTTTCTTTGTATCAGACTCTTACTGAAAAGAATCAAGGGTAAGTAACAGTGACTTTTAATAAGTATGGAAAATAGGACCCACATCAATGAGGCTATTCTGCTTTGGGTTATTGATTACTCCTGCCACCACAGGGCCTGTCACTATGACAAGGAGGAGAATGGGGCTAGCTTCCAGGACTGATCTAATGTGGACTGTCATTCTGCAGGCTATATTCCCCTGACCCTAAAGTTAGGCCAAACCTCCCAAGAGTTGGATCAATTTTATAACAACTAAGCTGCAGTGTACACAGACCAGTAAAATAATCAAACCCCAATTAGGATCAGTATGCCGTGAATAAGAGGAAGGGAACCCTGGCCAGTTTGGCTCAGCGGTTGGAGCGTTGGCCTGCGGACCAGAGAGTCCTGGGTTCGGTTCCTGCTAGGGGCATGTACCAAAAAAAAAAAAAAGAGAGAGAGAGAGAGAGAGGAAGGGAAAACAGTCACTGAGGGAGCTTGAGATGGGGAGTAAATCAGATGTCTGTGTGCTATTTTTCCTGGAGCTCCTTTCCCTTGACTTTAGTCTATTCAGCTGGCAGTAATCACTCTGTAGCTGAAGCACTGCTCATTTTCCTGGAAGCCCTGCCAGAGCCCGTCATCTGTTATGAGCTGTATCAGCGATGCCTTGACTCTGCTCAGGATCCCCGGGTCTGCAGACAGGTAAGTTTTATTGCTCTAAGGATGTGTTTGGGGCAGGTTCTCCCATACAGAAATCATCAATTTTACAAAGCCAGTGGGCAGCCAGCTACATGTTAGGATGGGTCTGGATCTGTTTTTCATGGCTTGACACCAGCATTGAAAGTTAGAACCTTTAAATTTTAGGTTGTGTTATTTCCTATTATATTTTTCACCCTCTTCCAGTTGACCCATTGAATAGGGTGGATACTTCTACTCTGGCATAAGATTGCTGAAGCTGATCCTACATGGGGTTCTGGCTGACATTACTTGTGAGCCTTTCTTCCTTTTGTCTTCTTGATGTTACAGTAGCCGAGAATATCTCTGAATAAGACTAGTGAGTATTGGGAGGAGATCCCATCCATACTAAATGTCATTGCAGAGAAAACTATTCAGCTTGGCAGATGCCATGGGTATCTGCCATTTTCCCATCTTGGGGAAATGAGAAAAGACCAGATTAACACCGAACTGCTTGTGATGTGAAGTGTGCATGAGAATGTGTGATGACAGCATGGCCTGGTCATTGAGTAGACAGGGGCCAAACACTATGAACATTTCTGACCTGGAAACTATCATTGGGCAGGTACTGTGTTGGTTATGAGTAAATAAATCAAGGAAGGTTGTGACAGATGAATGGGTCCTGTAAAGGTTGGATTATAAACTACGTTTATGGCAGCCATAAGCTCTTCTTTCTCCCTTCTTCCACTTGTTCTCACTGACTACCCCCTTTTTTAAAAAAACAGGTGATTTCCCAGCTTCCAAGATGCCATAGAAATGTTTTCCGTTACTTGATGGCATTCCTTCGAGAACTCTTAAAATTCTCCGAATACAACAATGTCAGTGCCAACATGATCGGTAAGACTACCTACGAATGGTCATAATGGGTGTTGGTCAGGACGTCCTTAATGTCCAGGCAAAGGACAGTCACTTCCCACTGCTCTCATTCCCTGGCTCCCCCACCCCCATTCCTGAGGCTTTGCTTAGGTTGTATCTGACACGGGGTTTCCCCTTTTCTTTCTCTTGCCCTCTAGCTACTCTCTTCACAAGTCTTCTCCTAAGGCCTCCACCTAACTTGTTGGCAAGACAGAATTCAAGTGACCGCCAGCGTGCTATCCAGTTCCTTTTGGGTTTCCTGCTTGGGAGTGATGAAGATTAATAAGCCCTTTTCTCTTAAGTACTCTCCAAGATTCTAGAAGTGGAAGATCTTGGACACCAAGTATTTCAGAATATTTGCAAAGTCATGCCACAGGAAATGTCTATTGCAGAATTTCCAGGCTGTTGGCATGAAAAGGGAAGAGTTTCCTAATCCCTCCTTTACCATATCCTACACAGCAAACTACTATTAGACTTATATTGCCAAGCCAAAGTTACCATATTTTGGTGTTTTTGTGTTCTCTCTTTATAAGGCAAAGAGATCTGTATTTACACTCCTTTAGGGGATGTGTCTGTTGCCCCCTGCCCAGCTGTCATGATTGTCCTTAGCACCCTAGACCTAGATTCTGAGATGTTCCCATTCTAGGCCTACAAGCACTACTTGGTGTAGCTCAGACTTGTGTGTAGTCCTTCCACTAAGACACTTTTGCCCTACCATCCCCACATCACCCCTTTGCACTCTACTTCAGTAGTGCTATCACGTTGAAGGAAGTCTGAGTGAGGCTAGTGATTCCTTGGGCGTCCCCAACAGTGAGTTAATATTCTACATGTTTTTGTTACATGCATTTATGTATTTATACCACAGTGCTATCCATATATCTCTGTAACATTGGCTGTTTCATGAATCTGCACTGGGTGGAACCATATTCTCTTGTCTCAGACCACATTTAGTAGCAGAACTCTAGGGACTATTAGAGATGACATCCAATTGATGTGAGAGAATCATAATCAGAGTGGAAGCACTTTGAGTAGTCACAAATGAAAACATTTAGGTTTGACAGGTTCTGCTTCTCACCATCCCTTTCTCTTTTTTAAATTTTACATGAGAATTAATCCTGGGTATCTATGGGACCCATCCCCCACTTAGAAATCCACCTCTGGAGCAACACTTGCACCACAGTCAAAAAGTAAGTCTGGCCCAGCCGGTGTGGCACCAAGAGGTCTCCAGTGCAATTCTGGTCAGGGCACATGCCCAGATTGTGGGCCAAATCCCCATCGGGGGCATGCAGGAGGCAACCAATTGATGTTCTCTCTCATCAATGTTTCTATCTCTCCCTCTCACTCTAAAATCAATAAATAAGTCTGCACCTCAGCCAGGCCTTTCTAGAGATATTGCTCCTTCCCCCAGCAAGAGTACTGAAGGGAACCCTTGGAACCCCCTCTCTGGTCTTCTGATGTACAGGGGGCCAATGTCATCCCCTCCTTTATCGAGGCTTACTGGGCTATACAGCCAGCTCCCCTTGGCTCCCAGCCAAGCACCTTTCTCTCACACCTAAGACAACCCTCTGAGCTCTTCATTTACTCAAGCTCTATTGGAGGAGAGCCTTAAAAAAATTAATCTGTTTGTTGGCAAACCAGCCACTGACTACAAAACTGCCTGATGCAATTGACTTCCTCTTGGCTTTCCTTTATTAAAACCACCCTGAGTCAACTTATTCTTGCCTGTTACCATTAAATCCAAGAAGCCTAACGAACAGGCATTGTGTCCAGTCTTGGGCTTTGACTCCTAACTCTTCTGGTGCATCAAAGGAGAGAACCAAGAGAAACACCACAGCTGAATGATTCTCCAGTTGAGCCATCTCTGATAACTTAAGTTTTTTAAAGAAACCCTGCAATAGACTGGTTAAACCCTTTCCTGACTGGGACTTATGGAACTAGGCATCAAGTTATTGGTGCCAAATAGCTATAGATCTGATAGATTATTCTAGTATGTTGCCAACCTGAAACCTTCGGATGATCAAGGATGTGGTTAGTGGGAACTGTGTGCAACATCCTAGCTCTTTCCTCATAAGGCAAATGCACTAAGTTCATTGCCTCAACCGTTTTTCCAGCTCTGGTCCTGGGATGTACACAGGGCTGAGAGTTTGACAATCTCTAGATAAGAGGGACAAGAAATAGACCAGAGGAAAAAGATCTGCCGCCCTATTGGGCCTCCTCTGGCACCCCAACCTGTAATTCCTAAGTATCTCCAATGTACTACTCCATAACACCTCTGAAGTAAGGAGTTCAGATCCAACTGATAGCGAAGGACTGTGCATCTATGGTTTTAGGTAAGAAACGGTTCAAACTCATGTGGTAATGTTGCATTAGTCTCCCTTTCACTATTTTCTGATTCTTATTCTGTAATTGTTATATTTCCCAAAAATGTCTTGGTCACTAAGCAAAGCTGCTAGTGGGGTTCTGTATTTTATGTCATCTTTTTTATTATAATTTATTGCAATTTTTTTCTGAATAAATGTATGTTGTGTGAAAAATCTAAATGTGATCTTGGTGAGGAAGAACTGAGGAGAGAGGCTTATGTCCCTAGGTCCCCGTTGACTGCTGCAGTCCCCACGGCTATGCCTGTACTGCCATTTCCTGTCTTACATGGAAATATCAAGAATTCTCAGTATATTTGCCCTTGGATGAGAGAAGTAGCTGCATATTTTAAGAGGCTAATAAAGAAATCACAGTGCTTTCAGAGGCCAGCCAAGGATCCTTATTTTAACCCTGGGGATTCAGGCAATGAAATAACCCTTTTAGGAGAAAAAATGTTGATTCTTCATGCACATAAGTGTCACACCAGGTCAGATCCATGAGCACTCCAGGCCTAGAAATCTGACAAACCCCTACATACACGTTTTGGGAGAACCCAATTGTCCTTGGGAATATAGCCTCAGTAGTTTCAACATGCCTCCTAAAGAGCCTGTTTTCACATAATTCATTTTGAAACTTTTGAAAACCGGTTTTGAACTTTACCTCTTGAGGTGACAAAGTTCATAAATGCAATACTTGGGGGGCTCTAATATGAACTGTAGCACTTTGGGAGGAAATTCCTAACTTGAGCATTGTACCTTTATTCTCCTGCCATCTCTATTATGAATCTGCACATTCTGATTCCATTTCCTTTTGAGACTGAAGAGGTCTCAGCTGGAGGTTTCTTCTCAACTAGGGCCCTCTTCTAGTTCCTTTAAACTGAGTTTGACCCTGATGTATGGGCTGATTCAGTATTGTCATGAACAGTGTTTCTAGCTCCACCCAAAGCCTTAGCAGAAGAAGGTGGGTTTTGTTGTTTGTTTGTTTGTTTGTTTTGTTTTGGGGGGAGGTGTAATTTCCCTCCAGTGGATGGAGACTGAAACCCAGCAGTTTTTTACACAGCAGCAGGTAATGTGGTGGAGCAGCCTCAGTGACCACCTTTCTAGAGGTTAGAAACTGAATCCCCGGCTGCTGTCCAGGAGAACCATTAGGGCCGTTCTGACTACAGGGTACATTGAAGGCCTGGTTCCTGATATAGCCTAATAATCTCAAGCCACACTCTGCCACGGTAGGCTTACAAGGTGTTAGAGAGAAAACCTTAGTGATGATCTAACTCAATTTCATTGTTCTGATAGGCAAAGTCAGGCTCAGAGGGGACAATGAAAGATTTTAGATCACTTAGGTTTAATTCGAATGATTACACAGTATATACTACGTTCCCCCACCCTCCCACCCCCACCAAAAAATAGCCAGCCATACAAGATCTTGCGGAGAACCTTTCAAGCAAAGGAAAGAGTGGATGCAAAGGTCCTAAGGCAGCAAAGCATCTTGATATTTTTAGGGGACAGCCAGGCAGAACATAGGGTATGGGTGAGAGGGGATGCTGGATGAGAGGTGGGCTGGGGCCTGATCACTCAGGCCAGTGGAGCCCAGGGCAGGAGGCTGCCTTTCATTCTTTGTGCAACAGGAAACCATGGATGGCCTTACTCATGAGTAACATGATTTATGCTCCTTCCCTTAACCTTAATCATAGTAATAATAACTAATAACTATAGCTGTCATTTATCCCAGGTGGTATACTAATATATTTTACTCATCTTTGACAACTACCTTATAAAGTACTACTTTATCCCACTCTCATTAGGTGAGGCTCAGAGAGACTACCTAACTTGCTACTTGGCTAGTGGCAGATCAGACTATGACCCCAGACCAAAATTTAACCCTTAAACACAGCCACTGTCTCCCCAACTTGAGTGGAAGTGGAAGTGGTGATGCTCCTTAAAAGTCCTTTCTCTTCTAGCTACATCCCAAGATTTCAAGTCAGTTGGATAACCTTCCAGGAACTCAAATTCAACCTGACTTTGAACCTGATAGCTTCTCCTGGCATCCTCTTTCCTATCACCCAGGCTTGAACCCTTGGTTATTTTTGGTCCCTGTCCCACTTCTAATCAGTCACCAATTTCAATTCAACAAATATTTATCAAGCATCTGGTAAGTGTACACCACTATGCAAGGTTCTGAAGGAAACCAAAATGAGTAAGAGGGGTCATCATAAAATAAGACATATATAATATATATTTTTTAAGGTGGAAGAAGGAAGGAAGAGTGAGGGGAGGGGAGAAAAGGTATGATGGGGCACCCACAGAAAAGGGGCCAAGGTCAGGTTGTTCACAGTGTCCTCTATCTGGCCCCTCCTTCCACTGCTCACTTGCCACAGCCCACCACCAAATTCAAACCCTCATTACCTCAGGCCTGGTGTATCCCCCCCATTTTAAAATTTTCAACTACAGTTTACATTTAATATTATTCCATATTAGTTTCAGGTGTACTGCATTGTTAGATAATCATATTTTAAAAAATGGTCCCCCGATACTTCAAGTACCCATCTGGCCCCACACATAGCCATTATAATATTATTGACTATATTCCCTATGCTGTACTTTATATCCCCATGATTATTCTGTAACTACCGATCTGTACTTCTTAATCCCTTCACCTTTTCACCCTTCCCCCCAACCTTCCTCCCCTCTAGTAACCATCAGTCTGTTCCCTGTATCTATGTGTCTGTTTCTATTTTATTTTTGTTTTTTAGATTCCACATATAAGTGAAATTATATGGTGAAATCAAATGAAGTCTTTCTCTAACTTCATTTAGCATATTGGAGTATCTCCTTTAACTCCTTTCTCACTAATTTCTCAGCTGCCAGTACCTTTCCTTTTTAGTCTATCCTACATATATCACTGCCAGGCTAATCTTCCCAATGCACTGCTTTGACATCACTCCCCTAATCAAAACCCTTCTGGGCCCCTTAACCCTACTTTCCACAGAAATTTGAGTTCACCCCAGCATCTGAGCTTTCCTTAGCCTCTTCCACTCAACTCTCTGAATCTCCCACTCAATCTCCTAATGACCTCCCATTTCCTAAACTCACAGACACTTTCCACTTTGGCTCAGTGTGTGCCAGCCACCTGGACTCCTCTAGACCCTACCACTCCACCTGCCCATGCCCTATCACACCCAAATGTTACCTCCTCCAGGAAGCCGTTCCCTGTGACTCTTATCTCCCCTGAACACTTAGAACCTTTCCTTTGTACCACCATTTTTAACACACCATACACCAAAGGGTGTTGCTGCCCCACCTGGGACTAAAAGCTTCGTGAAAGTAGAAATCAAGCTGGGCATGTTTTGGGTTTCTGCATGATGACTTGCACAGAGCAAGTGCTCAACAACAATATTTGGTTAATATTGTCCCTCAAAGAACTTAAAAGACACAAGTTTGTATACAATAGGTGTTCCTGAAATGTGTATACATTTAATTATTCAAACTGAGCTCTATTAACTTTAGAGAAACTCATGTGTGTGTACTTAGTAAGTTATATTGATGTAGTCCAAGAAGAGATTAGCTTTTAGCAGCCATCCAACACTATTTTCTATTGTCTTATAGGCAACAAAATCAGCCTTGCTGAATTTGCTTTTTAAAGTGATTCTCAAGGTTCCTCAAAAAATTAAAAATAGAACTACCATGTGATCAGCAATCCTACTTCTGGGAATATATCCAAAAGAATTGAAAATAAGGACTTGAACAGATATTTGCACACCCATGTTCATAGGAGCATTACTCACAATAGCCAAAACATGGAAACAACCCAGGTGTCCATCAGTGGATGAATGGAGAAACAAAGTGTGGTATATGCACAACATGGAATATTATTCATCCTTAAA